ATTGGACTGGCGGGAGTCCCATTCATAACGATTCGCGCCGTTTTGCAGTCTGCGTCTTTTCATTCTAATCTATCTCGCTGAGCCAGTGGCGGTGCGGACGCGCTGCTTTACTTGGGATTTTCGCCTACTCAGGGTTGAAAAAGACTGTAGAGTACTGCACGAAATCACTCGGAAGACTGCAAGCAAAACTTCCGCGAGCACATCATGCACCTGCTGAGGTGATTTACGAAGTACGGTTGATCATCCTGCTTCAGCAGGTTGCAACAGTTATGTGATTTGGTGTCACGTTAGACGAAAAACATGAACATGTTCATTATTTTCGTCCGACGTGACACCAAATGACATCACTGCGCCCAACGTAACCCCAGATGACGTAACTGCGCCGAGCCCTGCTTAAGCAGGACGATCGGCTAGTCTGGCCTACCTATGGTGCATCTCCAAAATTGTTCCCATATGTACGTGGCAGTGGCGGTTCCAGGATTTCGGACGGGGGGGGGGGGGGGGTTCGGGCGATTTCGTGAGTCGACTTCAACATGTGTGATCGGCTCCCGGATTCGTGAGGAGAGAGTTGCGGACTTTCCTGATTGTAAGGTTGAACGGCGCTATTCCACTCAATACAATCCCGATAATTGAAAATCACGGATATCGCCGAAAACTCGCTTAGGTGAGGTTATTCGACCTGCTGACCACGAAAATGATGTTCATTTTGCATGGTGGGGCCTTTTTGAGGGATTCGGTAGGTGTACGGTATGAGGTCAAAACCTTGAAATTCGCTAAAACTTTGCGTAGGGAGGGGGGGGGGGGGAGGAATTGGACATGCTGATCACGATTATCACACTTTTTCCACACGAAAACATTTGCCTGTATGGTTAGGTAGGCGTGCGGTAGGAGGCCAAAATCTGGATTTGGCTGGAATTTGGTCTGGAGAGGTTATTTGGCACGGTGAACCTGGGTATCATATTGACTTTGTATGGTAGCGCCGTTTCGTCGAGTTACGGTAGGTATACGGTAGATAGGTGAAAATTCCAGTCATGCTTTAAACGTTGCCTAGAGGGTTTTTCGAGTATACTGATAGCGAGTATCAGGCTTGCTCGCTACTACAACGCTTTTTTTTGTGGAGTCATGACAATTTGCAGCGTTTAGATAAACATCTTTTCCGCTTTTCAGACCAATTAAAGTCCCAAAAATCCACGAGAAGGCTTTATAAGCGAGATGAGCGCGGTATTAGTGATGAGCACATCAGATAACAACGCTGCATAAAGTTTCAGGCAGATCTACGGTTTTGACTCCTTACTACCTACCGTAACCCGACCATGAGGCAGTTTCGTGGGGATGACTATGCTATTTATGGTCAGCATGTCGAATAACCCCCCTACGCAAAGTTTTAGCTAATTCTGAGAGTTTGACCTATACCGTATGCCTACCGTAGCCCCTCCCTCAAAAAAAAGCCCACCATGCGAAATAAATATCATTTTCGTGGTCAGCAGGTCGAATAACATCCTTAAGCGAATGGCGAAATCCGTGATTTCCAACTTGGGTTGTATTATGTGGAATAGTACCGTATAAACTTGTTGAACCTTCGGTTAGCATTGCTTTTCATACTCTCTCGCTACCAAAAACCGCCGCCTTTTGAGTTGACACGACTCCACTTTCACATGAATCCAGGCACCGATGATGTAATCTTTGATTCATCTGGCTTGGCGGGTGGAAAGCGGGGCTTTGACCTAATTAAGGCCGCTCGCGCCTGCGACGCAGTTGCGTCTCTCCCGCGCGCGTGCCCTCTGATCATTAGCTATCCTTAATTGGTCACGAAGCCCCGTCTTCTAGCCGCCAAAGTCAGTTGAATCAAAAGGTATGGGTGTATGTACGTTAGTTGTTCTTACCGGAAACATGCTTAGCACTGTTGGGTTAGGTAATCAGTACAACTTTGGAATGTTTTCACTGATTTCGAAGAGAGGAAAATGACTTTCAAGAAAAAATGTCGGCCGCCGGGGATCACCGGAGGATCATAGAATGGAAAATGCGACTTGTAGGTTTCCCGCTCCTGTTCAATATGTTTATAGTAGAGGGTATGGGGCTCTGCGTGATTGCCAGAGTTCGGTGGGTTCATGGTCATTGCACGCGCTTTGGGCTTTGGTTATCTTTCTCCTTTTAAACGCTTTTGTGCTATCAGATGTTAGCTTCCAATCGCCTGAAACGATTTAAAAAATTACGGAATTGTTTGACTGGTTTAACACGTTGACGACCGTGTGCATATGCCCATATGCACGCCCTGACTCTCGTTCGGTTTTTTTCGTGCATACGCGCGTATGCACGCTAGTTTTTCAGGTGTAGACGAAGTTTTGAAGTAACTTCTATGCAGTTATAATACTGGTGGTCTGATTGACTTATAGAACACAGGGCATCGCGACAGCTGTTCAGAAGTATGAACCGCAGAATGGGTGATCAGTCCATTTTTGATGTGGTGAACGTATGCTATTTATGTGTTTCCGAGAAGGCTGGAACTCTGTGTAGCTGTTTTGAAAGCAAACAAGGATGGGTCAGGCAAAAAAGCTGGTGTTATAACGCTTCTCTCGTAGAGGGATTCCCAGAGACATAGCCACTGCATGGTTTATTCGAGGAAAAAGCTGTGCAAAATTTTGATTCGTGTAACTCGTGGTAAGACCCTGTAATATACATGTACCTCTGAATAAAGTTCTTATGTTTTACGAATATTTCCACATAATGTTTTCGTGCATACGCGCATATGCACGGGTCAAATGCGCTCAAAACACTGGTGGGAGTTTCGCCCGGAATGGCTTGGTCGTCAACTGTTGAGGCCTTATAGCATCGTGCTTACGCAACGGCCGCACTCACCGACTCTCGCGATCACCCAGAGCCCTATAGTTGAGACATTTGAGAATGATTTGACATTATAAAATCCGAACTTCGGAGTTTCAGATGTAGCTTTCTTTAAGCTGCAATCCCCTCCCCGGCGGCGATCTCAAAGGCACCGTCCATTTTAAGTTAAGGGTGTGTATCTGGCAGCATGCGATAGTAGGGCCCCTATCGAGGAAATGCCCATATCGAGGCGCAGAATGTCTTTTTGGAAGCGATAAAATTACTCCGAAACAACGAAGGGAGCAGAGGACGCTTAGGGCCGCATGCACTAACATCCCCGCGGGGAGGGGATCGCAGCTTAAAAGAAAGCTTTATATTTCGAAACTCCAGATACCTGGATTTTACGTTGTGTGCCTATCCGTAAGTATTCCTACTACCCTTCACTATGAACATGTTGAAGAGGAGCAAGAAGCTGTACGAACCGCATTTTCCAGCTTTTGTATGGTCCCTGATGATCCCCGGTGCTTTTCTTTAAAGTCATTTTTCTTTCTCCGAAGTTAACGAAAAACCTCCAAAGTTATGCAGATTATCCAACCCAACAGTGCTAAGCATGTTCGTGATAAGAACAAATGATGTTTTGAAGTCATGAAATTTTCGATGATCCACAGGTCGAAGTTTGAGGTTTACCGGAAAATTCGACTTTTCAAAAACTCTTTTGTTCTCATCAGCAACATGCTTAGCACTGTTGAGTTAGATGTTCAGTACAACTTTGGAAGGTTTTTGCCAACTTCGTAGAAAGAAAAATGACTTCACAGAAAAGCGCCGGGTATTATCAGGGATCATACAAAAACTGGAAAATGCTGTTCGTACAGCTTCTCGCTCCTGTTCAACATGTCATGGTGAAGGGTAGTAGGAATACTTACGGATAGGTACACAACCTGAAATCTAGGTATCTGGAGTTTCGAAATATAAAGCTTTCTTTTGAGCTGCGATCCCCTCCCAGCGGGGAGGTTAGTGCATGCGGCCCTTAGTCGGCAACGCCCTCTTGGCCATCCATGCTCGCCCATCTAATCGCCGTTTCGGTGATCCGCCTGCGGGTTCTCCGGAGAGAGAATCGTCAGGATTTTCGCGGATTCTTGACTTCATATCTGAAAACGGGGAAATGAGAAGGCCGGGAACGACCAAAACATGGACGAGAATCTTGGTGGATGGAGTTTGAAAGCTGTATCCGAGCAAGAATTCGATTCCTAGCGAATTCACTTCCCTGAGGTTTCCGCAACGCTTTCAAAGAAACCACGTTAGAAAGTGCGAAACGGCGTGAACATGCGTTTCCCAGAGCCTTACAATTTGAAATTGGACGTGGCAAGGCTGATTGTGAGATCAGAGTCGCTGTAGATCTCTACAACAATGACTGTGGCAGCATGCGTACTTTGCCGCAGAGCAGGGAGTCAAACAGGTGGAGAACTCCGCCTCCAGGGCGTACGTTTCTCAATTTTCGACCGTATTTCGTACTTCTATTCAAACGTTATGCCTTCGCACTTGAGCGAGGCGTGTCCGAGGGGCCCACTTTCGCATAGCATTGAATTCCAGAAACCTCACCTTGTCCGAGCACTGCCTTCAATGCATGCGGCCCTAAATGAATCACAAAAATAAAGACCGTACTTGGTTCAAAAAGCAGCTCACGTCCTAGAAGGAGTCACCTCACCTAAATTTTTCCTCGTTTGCCCTCTCAGGAAAAATTCTGCGACGCTCACTCATGTATAGGCGATTCATCGCACGCACAGACTGGACGCGGTTGCGGCCAAATAAACCGATTCGTGCATGGGGAGAGCAGACGGCAAGAGGGATGAAAGAGAGAGCTCGATAAGCGAGAGTCGACAGCTTCCGTATCCACCCTGTCTTTGTCTGCGATGAATCGCCTATATTAGTGCATTGACTGACAGTTGCATCCACTGAGGGGGTAATTGCAAAGTTGATGCTCGGTAGCCATAAAACTTACTGTGATCAATGAGTGTGAAAGTATGCTATTGTAGGTAATCCACTACCCTCAAGAAATCCACAACGTAATTGTCTGTCGCAAGAGCCGACAGTAGACTTTCCTGTCAGCTCTTATCTGTTCGGCTTTCTTTCATTTTGTCTCGTTGACGTTCCTGTTCGCGATCATCAACCTCTTCAATTACAGGTGAATCATGGGAGCGGCTGCATCAGGAGTTTCAACGCAAATGCAGGCGGAACATGATCCCAATGCTAATTTCCCATGGTCAGTTTTTTTCTGAAACCTTTGTATCTGATTGGCACTAAAATTGTTCGAATGATTGGCCGAGATTGTGCAAATGCACAGTGGCGTACCCAGGATTTCGGCTCGGGGGGGGGGGGGCGACAAAAAAATTTTTCAATGAAGGTGCATGGCGTTAGCCACGCGCTCCGAAAAATTTTTTGGGATGTTTCCGCTTTTCCGGGCCCCTGACGTCCCCGAAGAAATTTTTTTTACAAGGCTAGTTTGAATTTTTAAAGATTTTTAAAAATTATTTTAATTATTTACAAGTGTAAACAAGTCCTCTGCACATTTTTACAACACACTTAAGTAACTTTCAAAAATTTCGCGACCCATTCTCGGGAGGGGGGGGGGGGGCTCTCTCGGTACGCCACTGCAAGGTAGGCATAGAGTTTGTTTTTCTCATTCTTCTAGTAGTATTCTCACTTGACTCACCCGTTACGACTTAAGCGCTTTGCATGTGAATTTTTTAAAGACACCGTCAACCCAAAATAAGGTCGATGAGGTTGTATACTTGCCCAACTCGCGCTGTCAAAAGTTGCTTCCGATGCAAGAAATTTGCCTCGTCGCTTCGGATGACGGATTCGCAACGTTGGTTTCTCCCCTTTGAGTGGGCGTGACGTTCGTCCCGCCCATCCGTGCGCACCCAATCATCATTCCGGAGAATTCGCCCTGCGGGTTCAGCGCAATGGGAATTGTCGGGGTTTTCGCGGATTCTCGACTTGATGTTTGAAATTAGGGATATGGCGAAGCCTCGGAACGACAAAAACATGGAAGTCGAGAATTCGGGTGGACGGCGCCTTTGATTAGCCCTTGTTACCTTATATTACCACACCCGTTACCGTTCATTTTACTACATCTTCACCAGTCGTCTGACTTAATAAATCTGCCACGCTAGTGTATTGTCCACACCTGCAGATATTTCTACCGAGGCGATAACTATGGCTAAAGGGGCGGGCATACATCACGCAATTTCGTCGTCGCAATTTCTGGTCGTCGCGATTTGCTGCAAGCAGCGGCTATATTACGACGATTAAATCGCTGGTTACTTGTTCATAGACATACTTCTGCAGCGATTCGTGCATTCTCACAGTCGAGCATATTATACACGTTCTCAAACTAGTTATACAAATTGTACTACATTCGGCCCGTTTTTTTCACTTGTATCCTTTTGTATACCGGAATCGATTTCAACCGCAAGACTACGTAAAATCTCGCTATGCCATATATGCCAACATCCGGTTCCCATAGTTTAAAAGTCATGAATTATATTCAAACTCTGTTTAGAGGCAGTGTCCGGGCAAAAAACTCGATTCTAAGATTTTGTGCTTACCCGGGCCTATATGCTACGCTGAATCCGTAAATGCACACTGGAGAGCGTGAAAACGGCGAAAAACGGCTCTAACACAGGAGGGAAATCAGCAGGTGGGCGGGGTCCTCCCCACTGTGAATTCACGCTCCCAGCTTCCGGAGCGATCTTCTCGCTTCTATCAAGTTAACCATTCGCACTTAGCCGGTAGCGATGTTAGAACGGCTAGCGGAATCGAGAAGACCGCTCCGGAACCTGGGAGCGTGAATTCACAGTAGGGAGGACCCCGCCCACTTGCTGTTATCCTCCTGCGCTAGAGCCCTTTTTTGCCGTTTTCGCGCTTTCCAGTGTGGATTTTCGGATTCAGCATGGCGAATAGGCTTGTACAAGCACAAAAACTCAGAATCGAGTTTTTGCCCGGACACTGCCTTTAAATTCAAAGGCACCGTCCATCCTAAGAAGGTCATGAGCTTTTGACAGCTTACATTAGCTTATAGCGGGACCCCCTACAAGCCAGTGCCCAAGTCTCAGCACAGAATGTTGCTCTGGGAGCGAGAAAATCGGAGTAGCGAAGATGCATGAGGACCCCAAGTCGGCACTGCCCCCTCCAGTGATGCCCTCCCATCCGTGCGCGCCCATCCAATCACCGTTCCGAAAAGCCAGCATGCGGGTTCTCCGGAACGGGGATTGGCGGAGTTTTCGCGGATCGACTTCATATTCGGAACTGGGGATATGGGAAGGCCCCGAAACGATGAAGGAAGTCAAGAATCTTTGGGGACTGTGCCTTCAAAGGCAGTGGCTCGGCAAATCCTCAAATCATCCTTTTCTCGCCTGAAGTAACCCGCTCCACTGCTTTCGAATAACTTTGAAAGCACGAAATTAGCTAGTACGCGCCATACTTGATTCGCTTGATCGGCTTGATCCGCTTCATCCACTTCGCTATTGGTCAAGTCAGCAAACCGACCAATGGCGAAGCGGATTGAGCGGATCAAGATCAAGTATAGCGCGTGCTAAAGCCGTCAAATTTGAATATGGACGAGTGGAGGCAAATCCCGCCATGGCGAAGACGCATAGTTGTTGCGTGACCCTTATGCTTATAGCATGGTCACGTGAGCGCTCTGAAAGCGGAAGAGAAATCGCAAGGTGAGGGGGTCAGAGATGGGAGCTGTGAGGAGAGATGGAAGCGCTGCCTTTCGCGTTACAATTTCGGAGGTTAAAAGTGGCGTGAGAGATCGGACTTGGCCTATAGGTTCCATCATAGACGCTTCTACTCTGTGACATTGTTTTACCATGGGCCTTATTCTGCCGAGCCACTGCCTTCAAAGGGGATTTTCGATTTGGTTTTGACAGGTGCAATGTTCTAACAAAATTGCGCTAAAAAACTACATTTTCCTTAGGTTAGCAGGGTTGAGTTGATAGTTGGTGAAGCCCTTTCTTTCCATCTCTCTTACACCTGATATACCAACTGATATACCAACAGCAGACAGACAGCTTGCAGCTCTTCAAGAGCTTCAATCACGATCGCAGTGACTACTTTTAGATTTTCGGGTTTGGAAAAAACTCTGAAATTTTGAAGTGAGTTCTATTGCAAAAACCCGATTCCCTTGCTAAGAGAGCTTTTTGCATCCCGTGTAGAGTTTCAAAGCAATTTGCATCGTCATGTTTCTTATGACTTCGTAGATAACAATTCGGAAAGTTCACACAGTGTCGAGATGTCAAGTAAACAGAATCCAAGACTCGGAAAGCATCACACCATAGAACTATTCTTGCATCGGAGTCGAGGAGTCAGACTTCAATCACTTTTCGATGTCATGGTAACATTACCGAGAAGGCCAAGTTAGCGCAAAATATGATGACGTCAAAGATTGCACTTACGCGCTGGGTCGAACCTAAAGGTAAACAGTATGAAAAAGTGCAAAAATTAAGACGAGGACAAACATCCATCGCCGGTCGTTGACGTCAGATTCCCCCCCCCCCCCCGGCGCTTTATTATAGAGTAAACCAGTCTTGGACTGGTAGGGCAAATAAACCATATTCATCTGCGCGAATAAATGAACATTCGAACAAAGGCCTTTTTATTTATTCGACTATTCGAATAATCGAATAAATGGACTTTCTCTGAGAATCGACTAGAAAAATCGAATAGTCGAATATTTCGAATAACATTCGAATACGAATATTCTCCAACTATAGCATACAGAACTCCCATCTTCTTACAAGGGAGGTGTTTTCGGTCGAAGTGGCCTTTTAAAATGGAATTAATACGACTATAAAGAGCATCAAACGCTGATTCCAAATCTGTCTTCATTATCTGCCGAGCGCCCCTAGACGTTAAGTTATGAGCGTTTTTTAAGTTGAGAAATTAAATGCATACTTAGGACAGTATTCGTCAGAATCGCTCAAATGGTCCAATGTTGATTATCAAAGCACTTTATTTAAACAATATCTTTTATCCAAAGCATTCATACGTAACACTGCTCTATTTGAGCGCTGGGAAGACCGTAAAATTTTATTTTACTTAGATTATGCGTTCATTTTTCGCACCGAAAAATATTCATAACTCGACGTCTAAAGGCGCTCGGCAGATAAGACAGATTTGGAATCAGCGTTTGATGCTCTTTATAGTCGTATCAATTTCATTTGAAAAGGCCACTTCGATCGAAAGCACCTCCCTTAGCTGGAAGAAGAAAGGGTGCAAGGAGACACAAGCATAAACATAGCGGATGCATGTCACATGGTGTAAAGGGTGAACGATATGTTGTGCTGGTACTTTCAAGTAGTTACTAAAAAACCTCAGTAAAGACATAATACATACAAGCAAGAAATGCTGAACCTTTTTGGAAGCGGCAAGCGTTCGTTGTTGTTTTGTTTCTTATGCTGGAATTACCAAAACCATATATTTACTTGACCATACGAACGATATCATGACCATATCGAAAGTAAATGTTCGCTTTGATATTCGAAAATTTGAAAATTCTAGTATTTGAATGGTGGATTGTCCGAATAATTATAATTTGAATAATTTTTCTAAAATGTAAACATTCTTAGACCCATATGCAATCTTAGACCCTTATGCAACATCTCTGCGCCGAGAGGAACGGAGTCTCCATCAATGAAAAAGCCGCGACGTTCGCGCGCGGCCCTTTCATAACGGTGGCGCCGCTCCCCTTGCCGTCGCAGGGATGTTAATGCATACGGGCATTAGAAAACAAATTGCTGACTACAAAATTTTGGACGCCGTATACGAAAACGTCAAAGCTTCGTTCTTTCAACTATCCGCATTCCCGCTAGTCAAATATTCTTGCTGTCTTTTTGATTCTAGGTCAGATATTGTTTGTATGCGGATACCTGCCGCACTCGGAAAGACGAAATTAAGTTTTTTTTTTCGGAATGTGGTTAGTGCCATTCAATTTTAAACCTTATCGAATTCGAAGGCATGAGTTTAAGCGAAACTCCCTTCCCTGTATTGATACATATTCCTGTGTTCACAGAATCATTGCGTTTTTGCGAACCGAGATGTGACACATTATTGATACTGGTTATAACTCACACTGGGATATTATCTTTTTTTTGTGGCTTATTCTTATCTTGCCAATCATTACGTATTTAGGTGGGTCCGATTTCTCGCTAAGGGAGTTGGTATTGTTGGTGGATTTTTAGCGATATTTTTCGGAGCTCTTGGTCTTATATCGCTTTCGCCCACATGTGTTATTGCAGTATTGTTACAGATGTGCGTTCGTCACTTATCAATATTACTTCAGTAACATCTCTACATTCAGGCTATTCGGTTTCTTGGTTATTGCACTGGAAGCTCCTTTCTGTTGTGCGTTTGTAGATTTTATCGAACGACTTGCACAATTCAGCGAGTCTCGAAAGCACTGGCATAAAGCTGCTTTGTATGGAGCGTAAGTACTCATTTGCTACCATTTGCTGTTTTTCTTTTTTACAGTGACAACCTAGAATCATGTCATCAGTCAAATTTGTGGAAAATTTTGTCTCGGTATGATCCGATGAATTGAATGGGCCAGCGGCGGTCCCACGATTGTCGTCTGTCGTAGGGAGGGGGGGGGGAACAAAAATTTTCCCGAATAGAGTGGACACTCACTCCAAGTTTGTCTGGACGTTTCCACATTATTAGCTGGCCCATGGACGGCAACCATGTCCCCTCCCCCTCCAGAAGTTTTAGATGAATTTATGAAAATCTTTAAAAATTATTTCAGTTATTCACAAGTAAAATAAGTCACTTACGCGTTCTTATAACTGTAAGTAACAAAAACTTCGTCATTCTCGGCCCGCCGTCCTTGGTACGCCACCAAAGAGAATTTGAATTAGGTGACATAAGTTGTTACATAGAGGGAAAAATCCATAACTTTCCCAAAAGTTTCTTAAAGAAGCTATTTTTCAAAGAAATCATTTGCAGCTGTCTCCTTCCCTCGCTTCGCACATAACGATAATAGCGAACACCGATTCGATAGGGTAAAGCAAGTTCTACGAGACTGCTTTTAAACGATCGCAAAAAGTTTGATCCGTCAAATTTGAAAGCAAGATCCAAAAAATACCCAAGAATCAGATTGCCATCAAACATTCTGCGGACTTCCAACTTGGTCAGGCTTATACTGTACACATCAGACATTCATAGTTGCGGTATTTCCTCCAGGGTCAGAAGTGAGAAATTGGAAGTTGGCATGCCTTACCAAACAGTGATGGGCTACTCTAGTTTAGGTAATTCTATTCGCAAAAACGATATCCCCTTTGCTTTCTCTCCTAAAACGATATCCAGCTTGCTTGGTAAGCCACCTGTGCCGTACTCTGATCCCTGAGACTTTCCGGGAAATAATAAATCTAGCATAAAAAACCGAAAAAGGCGACATTTTCTTTTTGCCTATTCTCAAATTTCAACTAGCCCTTGCAAAAACGCAGGAGGTGTACATATGCTTGTCTGGTGTAGGGAGTATAGTTAGAATCGAATATTCGTGTTCGAATAATTTATTCGAAATATTCGACTATTCGAATATTCGAATAATCGAATATTCGAGGAAGTCCAATTATTCGATTATTCGAATAGTCGAATAAATGAGAAAGGCCTGTATTCGAATAATTCGTTCATTCGATGATTTGGAAAAATGAGTTATTCGAATATTCGAATATTCGAGGAATTTCAAAAGACAGTTATTCGAATATTCGAATATTCGAGCGACTTGAAAGACAGTCATTCGAATATTCGAATATTCAAGAACATTCATTCGAACATTCGATGTCAAAAGAAAACATCAGCTGTTCTACATTGAGTACAAGTATGTCCCCGATCGGTCAATCACATAAAAATCATCATATGACAGAATGGCTAGCAAGCTTCCCTTTTTACGGCATGAGTCGCGAGTCATGCCAAAGCATAGTGATGACAAGTATTATTCATAATTCATTTGGAGTGCTGAACTATCTTCTGGAAATCGCGTCTGAAAAGTGGAGATGCGATATCATGCGGAAAGACCCACAGGCTCTAAATTGGGGGAAGAAAAGCCGTCATTAGGCGCCCTTTAGCAGACCACTGGTCCTCAAACAGCTTGCACAAGCATGTATAGTCTCCTAAGGCAGCAGGTAAAGGCAACATTCATTCCTTCATCTCGAGGTCTTCACTTGCTCTAGCCTAATCACCGCTCACATGTCAAAATACCTGAAAGTTACGTTACAGCGCAAGGCGTCGTGAGGACCTGAGCCGCTTGACTTGGCGGCAGCCTATCAGTCACTGCTCAAATCGGGTGCCCTTATGGTCTTATAAAACTAGTGTTAGAATGTTGCAAAGTTCGTAGAGGAATAATACTTCGAGTAGGCGTTTAGGATGAACATTGTTTATTTTGAACCTGAGAAGAGATATGAAAGATCCTTACAACAAAAGTACAAACCTCAAAAATACAACTGAAACAACTTTGTGAGAATTCAGTCCTACAGCAAAAACTCTGAAACTCAGTGATTATGAATTCCCGACAAGTATTAGATTATCAGCTAATATACAAATATTTCCATGAGTTTTCTTTCTTTTGCATTTAGATGAGCACAGAAATATTAGGTTGTCACGAAAGTTTTGTCCATTTTTTCCATCGCTCACTAAGAGCCACAGAACACCAATGCATAGGCAACTTAGGTACGACTTGATACATATTTTTATATTCTTTCTCACAGCTGTATTTGAATCTCTGATCTACTCTGCCTCTGCAATGTTATCCCCACGGCGTTCTGAGCAGCTCAGAAGTAATGCCAAATCTTTACTGAGTTTTAAAAAATTTTTATCCTGATGTTTTCAAAGAGCGCTGAAGATTATTATGTAGAGCAAGCCTTTGGCTACATTGTATCCAATTTAGTTTACATCCATGTTTACCAAGCTCGTTATAATTAATGTTTGATGAAAACTGCAGCTTTTTGAATACGTTTACCACTTAAAAGTACCGAAAATTCCAAAAAGCTGCATTTTCAAAGCAAATCAAACTTGGTTATGTAAAAATAATGTTTGATAAGAATCATATTTCAATTCGCGAAAGCTTTGAAAGCTTTCGTGTATTTGCTGCAGTTGCGTGTTTCATGACTTAAAAAGATCGAAACTGCCGAAAAAAATAATGTTTTTGAAGCTAAAAACAGCAAATTAAGAGAATCTCTAAGAATATTACCTTGAAATCCGAGAATTGCTCTATTTGATCCATACTTAATCCTTTTCGAAACTTTGGAATGAAATTTAGAACTTTGGAATGAAATTCAAAAAAGTAGCTTAACTTTGAGCAGATAAAATTGACGGATGGAGAACTTTGGCAATTATCAAAAAAAGCATACAAGATTGTGGTTCGAAAATGTATTCTTAAAAGACAGGGAAAAGCCATCGAATGCGTGTTGAGATTCATTTAGGTCTTTATTGTGTGTGGTCCTCAGTCGTTTGAAAAAATGAACAAAACTTTCGGGACAACAGCAGAGGTTCACTGATTCTATCACTGTAGGCCTTCCTCGTGCTCCCCAGTGCTAGTCTTAGAACTCACGCAATGCTGACCATTACGAATAAATTACAAACAACTACCTAATCTAAAAGGTTTTCCATTTTAAATCTATAGCTTTGGAAAAAAATTCTGTGTAACTTCGGAAGAAACTTCTGTAAGGAAGTATAAATCTGTTGAAACGATTACCAGGTAAGGCTTAGGCCACGAACACCTTGAACTACATGTTTGAGTGAAATTCTTCTGTTTCCTAGGTGAAACCCTGACCAGCGACAATAACCTAGTCACCCTACCACTTGCTACACATATAATTAACAGCTACAAATCTAGATCGAATATAGCGATTAAGTTTTTTTTGCAAACCGCAACAAAGAAAAAAACAGCATTGTTTGAGCCGCTAAATTATTCGAATTATTCGAATAGTCGAATATCCGGACAGGTATAAATATTCGATTATTCGAATAGTCGAATATTCGACCATATGTAATTATTCGATTATTCGAATAGTCGAACATTCGACCAACCCCATTTATTCGAATATTCGATCATTCGAATTTTGAAATGTAGCATTATTCGAATATTCGAATTCGAGTAATCTGAAAATCACAGATCGAATAATATTCGTTCGTTCGAATATTTTTCAAAAGCCAATTATTCGAAATTCATTCGTTCGACAAAGTTTTTCGGTCGTTTCAACTATAGTAGGGAGTATATGCATGACCAAGTTTAGGCCCGCACAAATTTTTCGAACGGAGATCTGATTTTATTTTTGAATAATGAAATTACGAGGTAGGGCAAAAGTCTGGGAGCCGACATTACAATTTTGTAAATCACGAAACTACTGATGGTTTTGATTCCAAATTTGGGCCACTTCGCTGCGATCATCTTCTGCAACTCACACATTACGTAGCTAAAAATGCTTGCCTTATGTTTTTGCAAGAATTAGATATATCAAATAAGTGTCTCTGCAGAGCGAGAATTGAAATTTTTTATAATTACAGTTTACTAGTGAATCAGTAATGTAAAGGCGTTAGATTTGCAGGAGCGTTCGCTGAAAGAGCCGCGCTTCTCGCAATTTCAGCTTTTCTGATTAGGCACGATAGTTCTTTATATAATTTCGTAGCTTAATACTGCAAATTCTACCACATGTCGATGCATACAATGTAGAGGAGGCTTTGCGCCACCACATCATAGTAGTTGCGTTTGCCAGATACTATTCTTTCGAAAATGCAAATCTTCAAAATAAAATTAAAAGCTATAGGAGCGAAGCACGTACTGAGCTTTAAGCTCTGTTTTCTCAATGAGTCTTCTATATAAGTGAGCATCTATTTGAATTCGATCAATGGAGCAAGTTCAATACTTTTTAGAATATGATTTTTCTCTGCTGCTCGCGCAATCGAGTCCAAGTTTCCAGTATGCGAGTGCATTTGCTTTCACTTAAAACTCCAATATTTTTTCTTAAATATTGCAAAAAAATTTCTTCGTAAATGTCGTAGCCAAAAACTTGCTCCATCATACTGCACATTTACCTAGTGATAAAAGAAACAGCTTTTGTGAAAGCGTGGGACGAATAATTTTGTCGTGACTGCCTGCGTTCTACGACGGGCGGACTCGCCAAGTTTTCGAAGGGCTCTTTGAAGACAATCTCACAATTTGAGAGCTGCGCTGTATTTGTAAAGGTTCGATTTATGTGTGCCCAGATTTTTTTTCTAGGTACTTTCCTTCAGATTCTATCTGAAAAAGTACTAGGCTCCCAGACTTTTGCTCCACCCTGTACTTTGGATTTTGCTTCCAATTCTCAAGCAGATCTTAACTTTCTGCGACCTTCTAAATGCAGTTTTGTACAAATTGCTTTGCTCTCTTGAAAAATATGTTTTTCACATTTTTACCTTTACACTGCTGCGATGCGTAAGGCCTGCATTTTTTTGACAACACTACATTGCAGCGCTCAAAGCGTCGATGTATCTCAATGTTCTCTTATCTGAGACAATCATAAAGAAATTGAAACCAGGAATGGCACGTCCATATGCTGATTTCGTGATAGAATAATTTTCACATGTTTTTCAAATAAAGAGTGTATCAGCTGCCATGACAGATGCAGGAAGACTGTATTGTTTAGGATGGGGATTGCGCCAATAATTATGTGTTTTGAGCTGAACACTTTCCTTGGATCTGGCTTGATTTTCGCTTGTGGAACTATCTATGGATTCATGGCGCTTGGTAAAAAGGTAAGAATTACAGCTTATCCAAGTTCTGCGATATTGTATAAATGCAAGTTGGAAGAACAACAATGTTTCAGGCTGATCGTGGAACAATGATGGCAGCTGGTGATCCAGCATGGAGTCCGCAAGTGAATCAACCTTCGGTATCATAGGTAAAAAATGGAGGCGATTGCTGCCATGCAAAATTTTCACTCTTTCTGTTTTTTCTTCATTGATTTCCAACATGGACTGTACAGGTGCCCATTTCGTTGCATAAAACGAATTGGTTTGGTGATGTCATTGATTTCTCTTAGCCTCGCATTTGCTGCTCTAGCGATCGAGTTATTTATTTTATTCACTTCCTCGAAATACTATGTTCTCTCATACTGTGGACTTCGTACGAATTTTTAGTTGATTTTTACAAAGAAAAAGATGTACCCGTTGAATAACATTCATTGCAAATCTGTTGTACATTTTTGACTGATGGCACAAATTGCATTTTCTTCTCGTTTGTTAGACCATGTTATGCACACGGATACGCGAACCGAACAGATAGATTATAGTCTTCTTTTTTGTTGCGTCTACTTAGGTGGTACTAGTCGCTCAACTACCTTTTTAGAATAAATCGAGGATCTATTGAGCATCTTTGAGTTGAGAACAAAAAAAAGGCTTCACTCAGGGCCCGGCACGAGTCCGTTTCTAGGCGTTTTGAAAACGAAGCCCTCCTGACTTTCGAGAATTTTACGAGCCCTTTGACCCTTGCTCTACCCCACCTCCGATTGTTGGTGGATCCTTGCATACTCACTTAGTTCTTGACAAAACCATTTACCTCATGTCAAACGCTCAAAGAAAGCCCACAAAACCCACAGAATTTTGGCTTCGTAAAGCCCTAGATGGTCACAGAACGATCAAAATAGATACGAGCTGACGAAAGAAGAAGAAGAAGAAAGAAGAATGGAAGAAATCATCAAAATAATGAAAAAAAGCTAGAATTGAAAATGAAAATTGAAAAGAAGAGGATGCAGAAAAGCTGACGCTGGGGCGCGATATCTAATAACGCGATTTTCGGAAGAAAAAGAGGATAAAAAACGACGGATAGGGGGTGATATGAAAATGTTTCTATGCTCAGGGATAGATTCTTGGCCGGGGCATCCGTCCATGCTAAGTTTTTAAATCTTTTTACATAAATTCCGCAAATAATTTTCTAAGTATACAGTTCAATTTTGATGTCATATGATTCTGTGTGCGCTGTAAACAAGCAATTTGTTTATTTTAGCCTTGCTTTCAAATCGCGCGCACTTTTCGTCATGCACGACAGAGCATGTCAATCGTGTGATAACCTGTCCGAAAAGCTCGAGTAAATGGCACTTATTCTTTGTGCTCTGCCCCGACTCGTCAAAAACGATACCCCCTTTGCTTTTTGCTCCAAAAACGAAGTTCAGCCTGCTTCCAGACGATCTGCTCCGGGCCCTGGCCTCACTCCCCGCTAGATAGTGTCTTGGGACAACCAAAGGGCTTTTTGAAGTTCGAAATCACTGGCGTTGGCTTGCTGGGCAGTGATGTAGCACTTGCACCATAGTGATGTACTTGCCACGCAGATTTTCTCTCGCTGTAATTATGAGCTTCCCAGGATATCACGACGTAGCAAGCGCCGCCCCTTATCCAGTGTCCTCACGAATGCTGAAGCCGGGATTTCAGTGTGAGTTTGGGATCGAGGTGCTCAACGGAATTGCTCCATTCAAGACAAAACTTTGGAATTGGGGTTTTCGAGGTTGCTCTTTTCATTAAGGAGTTACTAACAAGGAGAGGATACTTAGTCGAAAGCACCGATCCAGATGAGACATACATCTTCGTGACCTGCTCGGAGCGCTGATTTCAAATCTGGCAAAATCAGCTGCGGAGCGCCTTCGGGCGAGGAGCTATGACCGTTTCAAGAGCCAAAAATTGAGTGGGTAAAGAGAGTGAAATTGATTGTTACAACATGTATATTTCGCAGATAGACTCGCTTTGAATGCGAGTATAGCAGACAGACTTTTCTCTTTGCGCAGAGTAATTTGACAGACATCACTCCCCCATTCGAGCTATACTGGAGACTTCTGCGTATAATTTTTTTCTTCCCTCGACTTCAAATTTTCTCCACAAAAACAACCATAACTCGTTGTCCAAAGGCGCTCCGCAGCTGATTTTGCCAGATTTGAAATCAGCGCTCCGAGCACGTCCAGATATATGCCTCATCTGGATTGGTGCTTTCGACTAAGTATCCTCTCCTTGTAAGTGCAAACTCAAGGTTTAACACCGATAACGCCCAACCAAAACTAAGGTCTGGATTTAGAAGAATTTGAAGTTGCTTTTGTCAAACCAAGACCAAAAATCAAGACGGGTTCTCGAGATTGCCTTTTTTTCAGTTTTTGAGCATGGAGACATAAATGTCTTTCCTGCAAAAACCACCTTCTTTCCCTAGAATGGAAATGTCAAATGCAATAATACTAGGTTGGTGCAAAAGTTCTGTCACACCATTTTCAATAAACCATAAGTTACAGAGCCTTGGTAGATAGAGGAAATCATGATTTTTGTAATGGTTCTTTACTGCTCTTACATAAAGGTATGCTTTTGAGATAGAACCAGGCGAATGAAATCACTTTAGTTTTGATCGTTGCAAGTCATGTCGCTAGAAATCTAAAACCTGCGATGAAACTAACGTAAGAGCCAGTAATATGTAATAAGTTTTATGATCCAGCCTTTTCAACTGTGCGGAATTTGTGCTTATTGGGCATTTCCCTGAAAAGCTATGATTTTTTGAAAAGTGCCGAAGATCAATTTCGCTGTTCTGCACTGCTTGCTCAAAAGTCATAACCCTTCACAGAGATGCTAATTTAACACAAACTTTGCGCACTAATAGGGTGGATCTTTACCACTAGTTTCAAATTTTTGGCGACCCAATTAGAAATGACCAAAGCTAGACTGATTTGATTCTCCTACTTCTATTTCGGAAGCTCACCCTTGTTAAAGAGCAGCAAAGGTACTTCTACGAGGAGAATGATTTCCTTTATCCAGCAAAACCAAGTAAGAGCAAATTGTCGAGACAGAAGAAATTATGATGTTTTACTATGCGACAGAACTTTTACACAGCCTGATACTTATGTGCTTCCGTTTCACATTTTTCCTAAAAGCAAACTCAAAACTATAACCTTCTAACCACTTCCTTTAGGCACAACCACCACAAGCGAGAGATTTAAGTGTCATTAAAACAGCAATATCAACCATCCAATGACCATGCGTCATTCACACTTTGCGATGGAGATTTAATGTGAAAATTAGTTTTTCTAATTAAAGTTCCATTAACTGAACAGAGTGGCACACTATGAATACATATATCAAACATCTTCGCCAGATATAATTCTCCAAAGTAATTTTTCCTCATTCGTTGAGCTTCCCTCTTTTGTTCTCCGCGTGTTTTCCATGTAATTCGATTATAGCTGAGATTCTAAAAACTGATGAAATTTGAACTCATTTGTATCCCAAAGTAACGAGCATGTTTTTCTCTAGCGTTCGCCATCATTCCGGGCTTTCTAGGTCCATCATGAAGTTTTCTGGCAATGGTCAGCTCAGCGATTCTGCGACTTATAGTTCGATCAAGATTCAAGCATCATGCCAGCATAGTTGCTTCAGTGGGCGGCAGCAATGTCATGGTATCTGAAGTGTCCATGATTATAGCGAATCGGAATGTGCCTGGCAAGCACACCATCTAGGTGCGAGGTTATGGCCCGGGGGGAGAAAGTTACGCTCCCACAGCTAGAGGAGTTTATTAATCTCCTATGGAAAAGACATTCATTTTTTCATTCTCAGTAAGGAAAACATGACCTAAAGACATGACCTAGAGGCTGCTTCCCGGAAGAGCAAGCTATCAATTGCAAGCGGTGGACTCTTAAGATCTATTTAGTATTCCGATGTAGAAGACGAAGCGTGTTGTTCTATGAGATGATAGTCAGCGGGAACTAATATAGGAGTGTAATCCCAGCTGCCAGACTAGTTGCTTCGCGCCTCTCAAATAAGAGATGGGAAGATGAGATTTTGACAAAACTCGGGTCGACTAGTGCTCATAAGGAATCTCATTAATTCAGTATCTCATCTGTTCTTGCCAAAAACATGTTTGGCACTGCTGGAGTAAACTGTACACTATGTCAATTACGTACTCTCTTTGTCCTAGGAAGTACGCATACACAATGCGAGGTCCTTGCGTGCGGACCTTCAGTCGGTAAGGCCAGATCGGAAGCCCAAGCCATGCGCGCAGCTCTGGCGTGGTGATTGTGCTTATGGAAAGAGAGCACGAGATTAACACTGACTGTAAGTACAATTTGGGGCGGCTGCTGTCTTTACGCCCTTTCAAAAGCCACAAGGGTATAAAATATCCAGGAAAAGGTACTTCAGCGTTTTGAGTGCACTAACAATAAGTCGTTAAGCTATTTTAGGTATCTAGAGACTATCATATGCGAGCAAGAAAGGATTTGTAGAGACAAAACCCCAAAAATGCGGTTGCTAAACTGCGTTGATTTTAGCACTCATTATTGGAGATTTGCAGTTGAATACTAACGAAGTTTTGAGGCTCATACTTTGTGAATTTGTGAGCAGATATAGCGGGGACCCTTATGCATTAGGCTTAAAAGCATCAGTTTAAATTGTGAAGAGACCAAATACCTTGGAAAGGACTTGAGTTGAAAATTGAAAAAAAAAAAACAAAGCCAGTTCATCAATATTTCACTCAGTTTCCATGCTATAACAACAATTTGACCGGTAAGCCAGTTCTCGTACAAATGTAAAATTGAATTTCAGATTATCATTTCCTTATCCACTATCGAGGTTTACAGGTATCTTCGTAAGTGCATCGCAAAAGCTTTTCCTTTTCGAAATTCTTTCTTATGACTGCTCTTTACGCTTCTTCCTGACTCTTAAGTCTCACAACAGTGACTTTCTTATTAGGATCTAGTAAGAAAAAAGAGCAGGACAAGCGTTTATTAATAATACAGATATTAGCGCACTGGGTGCAAAATCTTATAAAATCGCTGCGTTAAACATAGGCTTGAACAAGAGTAACTAATCTTACAAGCATTTTCACTGAAGTTTGGGTTGAAGTCGTGGATCCGATATTATCCTTTCGGGCCTGACG